GGAGCCTGGCCAACGGCCCTGCCGGCTGCCGAGGAGGGTTTGAGACCGGACCCCCTAACGTCACCTTCGAAACCCATAAGAAAGAACTGGGAGACAGCTCTCAACGTGGCCACGCCAGGCCCGGCTTCGGCAGCCAAGGCTGCTCCGGAATGTCTAACGTTGCTTTCGGAACCCGTAAAACAAGTCTGTGAAGCAGCATGCCCTCGGTTGCCTCCTCTGGCGCGCGCCCCCTTCAACCGGCGGGGTCGGCGGATATATACACACATATATCTATATACTGTATATCAATACATCATTTTCCTGATTTGTCAAGTCATGTTTGCTGTTTGCCTTGCATCTTCAGTTGTCTCGTGAGGCCATGCTGAGCTACGCTGGCTACGATTCTGACGAGGAAGCGCCAGGTAGGTCCAGCCCTTTTGGAAGGAAGTGCTTGGAAGGAAGATCCAAGGCTTTTTACACCACAGCATCCAATCTTGCGGCATCTTGCGCCTTCTCAATTCAGACACCCATTTTGGAAGGTCCTTGGAGGTCCCCAAAAAGTCGTTTCTTTTTTGTGACTCCAAAAAGTCGTTTCTTTTTCTTTCTCCGTGTCAAGCTCTCTTCGACTCTGCCCGCTTCAGGTGTGGAGTCGGTGGAGCCTCCTGAGAAGCCTCACCGGCCAGTTTTTGATTTTCCAGACTGTCCAACGATGCAGTACGAGTAGAGCTTCCTATTGGATTGAAAAGATGGCTCAACTACATAGTAGCGAATGAAGGAAGATGACTTAAAGGCTACCCAGAAACTACAGTAACTACTAGTAACAAAGGGCATCGGCATCGCTACTAGGAGCAAGGACGCTACTAGAAGCTCCTGGCCTTACTACTAGTAACAAGAAGCTACTAGGAAAACGTGGCGATTCCGGGATGTCCAGGCGTGCGAAGGTGGAGGTGGTGGAGACAAAGGTCTGGATGCCTGGCGTCAAAGACCGCTTGGATTTTGCAGATGAACGTTGAAGACACCGAAGACACCTGAAGCTTGTGTCTGAATGGAAGTGAAGAAATGAACCAGAAGTCTTCGACTTTTTTCAGCGAAAAAGGGTGAAGTACGGGAAGCCTGCATTTTCGAAGGCTTTTGAGCCAGTTCAACCGTCCGGACCATGGAGCCACTGCGGTGAAAACAGCGCCGGCACCGCCACCGTCTGGCTAAGGCACAAGGAGGCACCAAAACGCCTTCACCAGCAAAAGCTTCGAGATGTGAAGCGTGAGGCCTTCAGCTTCATCGGAAGCTTCGCAAGCTATGAGCTGGAAACACAAGCACTTTCCTTTTTCAAAAACATGGCGCTGGGGAAGAACACTGACAGGGTGTAGGGAAGTAGCGTGGAAGGAAGCCTTTGTTTGATAAACGTTTCCATTCCTTTCCTAGCTGGCCACCTGTGTAGGTTTCTGCAAGTTCTTGGCGTAACTTTTTAGAGATACACTGTTTCTGTTCTATTAAGGCTGCAGGATATGTGCCGTGCTAATGCAACTCACTCACTCTATGCAGATTGGTGTAGCCCGAAGTGCGACAGCAGTGGTGCAGGCGCAGCATCTGAGAGTGTTTCGTCGATTAGCCTTTGTGGAAGAGCAACCGTGGCAATGTTGCAGCCAAAACTTGCATTTTGGGGTGAATTACGACCCCCAAAGTGTTCTGCGCATGCAGGTCGTTCGGCAAAACATCTCAAGCTGCAAGTTGCTCAGATCTATCAGCTGAGTAGCCAGACTGAGCCGTTGGAGCCTTCATCATTGAGGTTGGGACTTGCGGTGGGGTGCGGAAGCCCTCTACCAGGTGGCCAAACGGTCAACTGCCAGAACTCGTCAGGAGCGACCATAGGTGGATGTAGTTGCAAAACAGTGTGTAGGAAAGCTGCAGGCTAGGCTGAAGTTCGATATCAGCGCTTGCCCAGGAGTGGGCTGAAGATAAAGCAGTTGTGAAATTGGCTGATAAGCTGAAGGAAGAGGTGTGGGGGGTATGTTGCACAACAACAACAGCAGCAACAACAACAGCAACAACAACAACAACAGCTACTAACTACTACTACTACTACTCCTACTACTACTGCTACTACCACTACTACTACTACTACTACTACTACTACAACCACCTACTACCACCTACTACTACCTACTACTACCTACTACTACTACTACTACTACTACCTCCTACTAATACTACTACTACTACTACTACCTCCTACTACTACTACTACTACTACTACTACTACTACTACCTACTACTACCTACTACTACCTACTGCTACCTACTACTACCTACTACTACCTACTACTACTTACTACCTACTACTTACTACCTACTACTTACTACCTACT